GCAGCTGTAGCTCACGGGCTTAGCTGCTCCACTGCATGGGGGGATCTTCCTAGACCAGGCTTGAAACCATGCCCCCTGCATTGACAGGTGGATTTTTAACCACTGTGCCACCAGGGAAGTCCCAGTAAACAGAAAAATAATTTATTCCAAAAGATAGCAGAAATAAATTCATCCTAAAAATATACTTTGGCATAATTCTGGTGGGACAGATCTTCCCTCTGAACATGTTCTCTTATTGACCGCCCCACTGAAGTCTTCCTGTTTTGTAACAGCTCTTAAACACTTTGCTGATTCCCATGTAGTGAGCAGGCAGGAGCCGCCTTCAAATCCACAGGTTCCAAAGAGAGAGTCATATATTTCTCAGAAGAACAGCATTTTCTATCTCAGAGGAGTGCACAGACATTTTATGGAGCCTGCACAGTTTAAGTAGGTACGTAATTCATCAAAGTATAAAAAAGGTGATGGGAAAAAAAATACTGCATTGTAGAATAAGATGTTCAAATGTGCTGTGAATGTTTAAGGAAGCTGATGGCCAAAATAGGCAAGTCAAGGAAGGTGGTCTAGGTATGGAGGTGATTTAACATCTCTTCATGACTAGATATAACAGCAAACTGAACAGGTCACCAACCAGGTGATGATAACTCCCAGCTGGGACCCTCAGGGATGAACCAGGGCTCTAAGAAGCTGACGAAGCCCCAGAACACGCTCATCATGATGAGAGGCACCGTGAGGCCCATATACGCCACGGTTGCTTCCCTGCCGCCTCACTTTGATCCCACCCAGAAATGTTAGTCTGCTTGTTCTTGCACATCATATAAATCAGACAGTCTGTGCTCTTTTCGGTGTAGCTTTTTTAGTTTACCACAATGTCTGTGAGATTCAACCACGTTTTTGCATGTATTCATAATGTTATTTTTTATTGCTGAGTAAATTCCATTGTATAAATATAACACAATTTATCTATTCTACTATTGATGGACATTTGGTTGCTTCCCATTTTGGACTATTATGAGTAAAGCTAAGGTGAGCATTCTCATGCACATCCTTCAGTGGACATATACACTAATTTCTCTTCGACAGAAACCAGGCATGGGGGCTTCCCTGGTGGCGCAGTGGTTAAGAATCTGTCTGCCAATGCAGGAGACATGGGCTCGAGCCCTGGTCTGGGAAGATCCCACATGCCACGGAGCAACTGGGCCTGTGAGCCACAACTACTGAGCCCGCGTGTCTAGAGCCCGTGCTCCACAACAAGAGAAGCCACTGCAATGAGAAGCCCGTGCACTGGAAGGAAGAGTAGTCCCTGCTCGCCGCAACTAGAGAAAGCCCGCGCGCAGCGATGAAAACCCAATGCAGCCAAAAATAAAATAAAATAAATAAGAAAAAAACAGGCATGGATTTGCTGGGTTGTAGGGTAGACATATGTTTTGCTTTATTGCCCAACAGTTTTCCAAAGTGGTTGAACCAATTTACAAACCCACCAGCAATGTATCTAGTTTTAGTTCTCCACAAACTTATCAACACTTGGTATTGTCACACTTATAAATTTTAGCCATTCTAGAGTATATGTAGTGGTATCTCACTGTGGTTTTATATCCATTTCCCAGATGAGTAACTATTTTAAGCCCCTTTTCATATGCTTTTTGGCCATTTTAATACCCTCTTTTGTGAAGTGTCTGTTAAAATCTTTTGACCATTAAAAAAATTTGGTTGTTTTGTGTTTTTCTTATTGAGTTGCACTTTTTTTTTTTTTTTGCCATGGGGTGCGGCATGTGGGATCTTAGCTCCCTGACCAAGGATCGAACCCATGCCCCTTGTGATGGAAGCATGGAGTCTTAACCACTGGACCACCAGGAAGTCCCTGAGTTGAAGTTCTTTATAGACTCTGAATATAAGTCCTTAGTCAGACATATGTACTGCAAAAATCTTCTCCCAGTTTATGGTTTGTCTTTTTCCTTTCTTAATCATGAATTTCTGTGAATACACATTCTTAATTTTCATGAAAGTCATTTATGCAATTTTTCTTTTAAGGTTAGCATTTTTTGTGTCATATTTAAGGACGCTTTATCTACCCCAATGCCTAGTTTCCATACTTTCCTCCGGGAGTTTTACTGTTTTAGATTTTACATTTAAGTTATAATTCATTTTGATTTAGTTTTTGTGTATGGAGATCCATTTTCCCCCAGAGATAGATATCCAATTGCTTTAGTACCATTTATTGAAAGAAGCCCTAAGTTTCAATTTGACATCTACTGCTAGGTAATGGGAGCACACCTTCCATGAAAGGAGCATTTCTCATACTCACCTGTCTCAATAGTCTGCTTTCCTCCTGAGAGTACACCCAAAGGGAGTGTACCTGTAGGAGTCAGGCCCTTGAGAGTCAGCACACTCTCACTCTCTTCCCTGCAAAGGAAGATCAAAGCCCAGGGTTAATGATAGGGTGTCTACCACTCAGTACCTACAAAGATACTTGAAAGAAGTTAAGAAAAGATGTGCAGAGATGGAGGATAGGTTCTCCTTCTCCCTACCCCTTCCCTGACCCAAAGAAAGGGATGTTTTCTATAAATATTCCAATTAACAACAATTAGCCAGGTCTTGTTTTCAATTAAAGCCATTTAATAATCAGGTGCTGTTCTAATGTTTTCCATATATTACCCCATATAATCCTCCAAAGAACGTTGTAAGGCAGATCTGCTATTATCACTCTTTTACAGACCAGGAAAATGAGGCACAAGATCACACAGCTGAGAAGATGTAGAGCCAGGATCTGAACACAGGCATTCTGGCTCCAGAATCCATACTAAATCACTGCACTCACTGCACTGTATCTAAGCTCATACCAAATAAATGTTTGCCAGGCATTTCTAGGCACTTTAACATGCAGGTCTGATTCAAACTGTACTCAACCCAAAGACCAACAGTTCTAATACCAAACTCCAATTCTAAAAAAACTGTTCTGAAATCAACTTCTAAATTACTCTCAAAATCCTTTTATCCCACAGTGTAATGACAGTTATCCTTACCGAAGAATTGAAAAGACCCGTGCCATCTTCCCAATGGCTCTGATTTTATTCTTGATGATCTCCTTTCGAACTGTAGTGCCTCCTTAGAGAATACAAAGAATAAGTAAGTTAAAGGAATATGTTAACAGGTTAGTTTTAAAAAATGCAGGATGAAGCGTCTTTCTAAGTTAAAGAAATTGTTTTTAAAAAGAAATCAAGGCCTAAGTTTGTTTAAACAAACCAAAGTCCCAGGAAGTTGTAAGGAGCAAGAGAAAAAAAAAAAAACAACCCAGAAGAGAGAAAAAAAAGATGATGTAAAAAATGGAGGGGCCACAAAAAAGACAGACTGAGTGGATCTATGAGGTAGGAACTTATTTGTGGTTCTGGAATGTAAAACACAGGGAAGAATGAAATACACACATATAAACAAAGACAGTTGCTACAGCAAAGATCTCTTTTGAGAATGCTGTGGGCCACCTCAGGATGCAGGGTTTGGCCTGCCAAATGGCACGTGATGACTTGAGCAGTTGTCTTCTGCATGTAAACACAACACACAGCTAGCTCTCCTGAACTTAGTGAGAGCTGCTTTCATTTTATAATCCTCACTTACTCACAAACTGGTGAGTTATTTCCTACCATAGACAACTGTGCAGTATAAATTATGATGATGGGTAAGGTGTTTTATAAAGCAACATCAAAAAAGTTATTGTTAAGACTTTATGGCCTTTTCTCATCCAAGATTTAGGAAACAGCTCACACATGAGAAGCCAATGTCCAGGCATGCATCAGGTGACCGCATTCAAACGTCAGAAACTAAGAAATGTGGCCTCTCCTTCCTCGCCCCCCAGTTCTAAATATCCTGCAGGATCATACAGCAGGGTTCAGAGAAAACATATACATTGAAACAGAAAGGGAGGATGGAGGGCCTGTCTGAAATTATTCAACTACAACTAAAAAAGTCTAATTAATAGATTGTGGTGGGACAGACAGCGAGTAGTAAGCTCATAGCACATTTTGGTCAGATACCTTTCTGATAGCTTGCAATGTAGTGATCTTCAGGGAGAAGAGACACCAAGAAACAAGGAGATGAAAATAGAAATATGGGAAGAGAAATTTAAGTTTGCATGGAAGAGAGAAAAGAAAAAATCAAAGCGAAATGCAATGAGAGAAGCAGGCTTTTATCTTTATCAGCTCAGAAGAGACATCCTTGGTATCATGATAGAATATTAAATTACAGATTTCTTGCCAGGAGTGTTTCTATTTCTTAAAAGTTTTACATTAATTCACATCTATTATTTTTCAAAATGGTCTATCCCCATAGATCATGAAAATAAAATTAGACAAAGAAAAAGATACTATTTGTGGAACAAATAATGCTGAAAACAATGAATAAAAACAAAGGACAGAGTGAACAGCTTACAAATCTCTTAATAAGAGCATCATGTTTTTATATAATGGATTCAATATCTTCTCATATCTTTCTAGAGATACTACAGTTTTTCCATTTTTAAGTTTTATATTTTCTTCAGAATCTCAAGTTCATTTGAGTTGCTTTTTGCTGTTTTTGTTGTTGTCTCTCTTAGAGACTTTTCCAAAGAGTCCTATAATCCTTGGTGCCTGCTCATCATTAAGAATGAGGGACTAGAAAGTTTTCAGAGTTGGTAGGTGGGCTGCTGACTTGGAGCTTTAAATACACAGAATGACCAGGGTGGGTCTTTGTTAGGGAATTCTCTGTATCAGTACTGAGATTGCATATGGTCACATAATTCACCTGTTTTTGGCAAAGTATCGATGCCCTCAGTTGTATCCTGGTCCAGAAATTCTTTGCTTTACACTTTTTAGAGGTTAGCCTCCAGTCTTGGAGAAGAGGCAGCCTTTCAAACAGCTTTTACCTACTCATTTAAGCTCAGCCCCCATCTCCCTCTTCCCCTCAACTCAAGGTCCCCAATTCTAGCAACTGGTGTAGGCTACCAATTCCTTTGCTTTTTGAGGATTCTGTACTGGAACTCGCTATTCCCCATTACTAAACTGGTCTTTAGCTTTCTTGAATCAGCCAAGTCAGTAATACTAATTCATTTGTTTTCCAGCTTCCAAAAACAGAAATCTAATCTCCACAATTTTTTTTTTTTTTTTTTTTGCGGTACGCAGGCCTCTCACTGCTGGGGCCTCTCCCGTTGCGGAACACAGGCTCCGGATGCGCAGGCTCAGCGGCCATGGCTCACGGGCCCAGCCGCTCTGTGGCATGTGGGATCTTCCAGGACCAGGGTACGAACCCATGTCCCCTGCATCGGCAGGTGGGCTCTCAACCACTGCGCCACCAGGGAAGCCCATCTCCACATTTTTGTAGGCTTATAAATTTGTAAAAATCTCTTTTATTGTGAAGTATGATAAACATACAGAAAAGTACACAAAACAAATGTATAACTCAATGATTTATTAAAAGCAAATGGCCATATAACCAGTCAGGACAATAAACAGAACCCTGCCAGCACCCCAGATTCCCCACCTTGGGCCCTTCCTAATAATTAGAGTCTCCCTCTTCCCAAAGAAAATCATTCTCTTGACTTCTACTGAAATCACTTTCTTGCTCTTCTTTATAGTTTTATCATTTAAGCATGTATCCACAAGTACAAGTTTTAATTTTTTTTTAATTTTATGTAATTGGAACAATCAAATAATGTATTTTTGTGTCTGGCTTCTTTTGCTCAACATTATGTTTGTAAGATGCATCCATGTTTTCCCTGTTCCTGTAGTTCACTGTCATTATTGTATACAATTCCACTATATGAATATGCCACAACTTATTTATCCTTTCTTCTGTCAGTGGTCATTTGGGCTGATTCCAATTTTTGGCTATTTTGAATTCAGCTGCTGTGAATATTCCAGTGCATTTCTCTTTGCTACACATATTTCTCTTAAGTACATTCCTATAATTAGAATGCTCAGTTATAGGGTATGTATATGTTCAATTCTGGATATCAGTTTAGCATTATCTACTAAAGTGGATGTACCAATTTACACTTCAATATATGAGCATTCCTGTTGCTACACATTCTGGCCAACACTTGATGCTATTCATCTTCACTTTTAGCCAATTTGGTAGGTGTGTAGAATCATCCATTGTGGTTTTAATTTGCATTTTCATGATGACTAATGTGGCTGGATAACTTTTCATATTTTTACTGGCCATTTGGATATCCTCATTTGTGAAGTGCTCATTCAAGTCTCATCTCACTGATCTGTAGTTCTTTATATATTCTGCATGAGCCACTTTTTGGTTGTGTAGCAAATATCCTCTCCCACTCTGTAGCTTGTCTTTTTACACTCTTTTTTTAAATTTAAATTTAATTTTATTTATTTTTTTCCACCCCGCCACATGCGGGATCTTAAGTCTCCTGACCAGGGATCGAACCCATGCCCCCTGCAGTGGAAGCACAGAGTCTTAACCACTGGACTGCCAGGGAAGACCCTTCACACTCTTTAAATAGAATCTTTTGATAAATACAAGTTCTAATTTTTTTTTTTTTTTTTTGCGGTACGCGGGCCTCTCACTGTTGAGGCCTCTCCCGTTGCGGATCACAGGCTCCCGACACGCAGGCTCAGTGACCATGGCTCACGGGCCCAGTCGCTCCGTGGCATGTGGCATCTTCCTGGACCGGGGCACAAACCCATGTCCCCTGCATATGCAGGCGGACTCTCAACCACTGCGCCACCAGGGAAGCCCCATTGGTTATTTCTGTCTTATCTTTTTTACTTCATAAGTCTTGCCATGGATTTATCAATTTTATTAGTCTCTTAAAAAGAGTACATTCTGGGGCTTCCCTGGTGGTGCAGCTGTTGAGAGTCCGCCTGCCGATGCAGGGGACGCGGGTTCGTGCCCCGGTCTGGGAAGATCCCACATGCCGCGGAGCGGCTGGGCCCGTGAGCCATGGCCACTGAGCCTGCGCGTCTGGAGCCTGTGCTCCGCAACGGGAGAGGCCACAACAGTGAGAGGCCCGCGTACCAAAAAAAAAAAAAAAAAAAGAGTACATTCTGGTTTTACTGCTCCTCTACACTATATTTATTTATTTATTTATTCTGGGGGGCTGCACTGCACAGCTTGTGGGATCTTAGTTCCCTGACCAGGGATCGAATCTGGGCCCTCAGCTGTGAAAGCGTGGAGTCCTAACCACTGGACCACCAGGGAATTCCCTATATTATATTTTATTTTCTGTTTTCTTATGCTGCTCTTAACTTTTTATTTCATTCCACCTCCTTTCTTTAGGTTTAATGTGCTATCCATTTTTTTCCCTTAACTTCCTGAGATAGATTTTGATTTTTCACCTTTCTTCTTTTCCAATTTATGCATTTAAGGCTATAAATTTTCCTCTATGCATGGCTTTAGATGCATCCCTCAAGTTTTGTTGTTCTATTTTTTTCTTTCAATTTATATCATTTTGTATTTAAGCACTGATTTTACAAAATGTGGTATAAAGGTGAACTAAATTTACAACTTAATTTTTTCATGTAAATTGCCCTCAAAATACATTGCAGCTAAGATGTGTATAAAATTTTACATACATTTGGAAGAAATCACACAGAAACAGTTTCTTTTTCAACAAACTTGGCTAATTTCACATCCCTTTTGGTCAGTCCCCCAAGGACATGTGAGGTGAGGGGCATATGGACCTTGTTGTACACACTGAACCATCCTGGTGATGATTCATCTTCTCTGCTTGTAGGATAACTTGAGACATAAAGTCAGATGCCTGATTACAGTATTTGAAAGAGAACTCCTTGTAGATGGCACCTCTCTCACTTAATTCTGACCATCCTGCTGCTTTAAGGTCAAGTATAACTCGGTTCCTCTCCTCTGCTGTCAACCAGTGAACATCTGCTGAGGTTCTGGTTCCAGCCCTAAACCCAGGCCTGCCTGGTGCACTGCCTGCCCTCAAGTTTTAATATGTACTGCTTTTTATTTTCATTCAGTTCAAAATATTTTGAAATTTTCATTGTGATATATGACCCATGGGTAATTCATTTCACTTCATTTCATTTTATTTTATTTTAATTTTTGGCTGCTCCATGTGGCATGCAGGATCTTAGTTCCCCAACCAGGGATTGAACCCACGTCCTCAGCAGTGAAAGCATGAAGTCCTAACTACTGGGCCGCCAGGGAATTCCCCATCTTATTATTGTTTTAGCATTTATTTCACGTAATATTAATCTATTTACAACAGCTTTTCTTTAGTTAGTATTTGGACTATATATTTATTCTCCTTTTACTTTCAAATTTTCTGTATCTTTATGTTTTAGATGTCTCTTATAAACCATCATAAAATGTTTTAAAAAAAATCTTACCTGACAATCTTTTATTCATTTACATTTAATGAAGTTGCTGATAAATTTATCAACATAATTTATTCTATTTGTCCTAGTGTTATAGGTACCTTCCCTCCTTTCTTGCCTTCTAGGTTATTTTTTTTATCATGCCATTTTTTCTATAACTTAAAGGGTACATACTTTTTAAAAAGCCCTCCGTTCTTTTTTTTTTTTTTTTTGCGGTACGCGGGCCTCTCACTGTTGTGGCCTCTCCCGTTGTGGAGCACAGGCTCCGGACACGGAGGCTCAGCGGCCATGGCTCACGGGCCCAGCTACTCCACGGCATGTGGGATCTTCCCAGACCGGGGCACGAACCCATGTCCCCTGCATCGGCAGGCAGACTCTCAACCACTGCGCCACCAAGGAAGCCCAGCCCTCCTTTCTTGAAAATTACTCTTACACCATGCATCTCTTACTTATCAAAGTATAATGTTAACAGGTACTTTTCTCCTCTCCCCAGAGAGTACAGCGTCCTCACACACTTTAACTCTATCCCACTGCCGACTATTATGGTCATATATTTTAATTGTCTTTTAAATCCAACAAAAATTATTATTGTTTAATAAGGTCTAAATTCACTTGATTTACCCACATATTTTCTACTATTTGTACTCTTTATTTCTTTCTGACTCTCCAAGCTTCTGTCTGGTATTTTCCTTCTGTTTGAATAATATTCTTTAGAATTTCATTTAGTGTGGGTCTCCTGGTAATTCTCTTAGTACCTTTTTTAAAGGGAAGAATAGCTGAAAAATGCTTATTTCTTCTTCATTTTTGAAGGGTATTTCTGCCAGGTATAGAATTCTAGATGTACCAATTATTATCTTTCAGTACTTTGAATATGTCATTCCATGGTTTCCTGCTTCCATTGTTTCCATTGAGAATCTACTGTCAGTTTAACTGTTCTCTTTTGAAAGTAATCGATTTTTTTTTTCCTGGCTGCTTTAAGATTTTTTTTCTTTGTCTTTCACCTGAAGCACTTTTACTATGATGTGCTTAGATATTGTTTTCTTTGTATTCATTCTGCTTTGGTTTGGGGGACTTCTTCAATCTGTGGCTTAACTTGTCAGTTTTAGAAAAATTTCAATCCATTATCTCTTCAAATACTGGTTCTACCCCATTCTCTCTCTCTTCTCTAGGATTCCAAACACACAGGTGATACCTATTCACTGTATCCTCCATGTCACTTATACTTTTTGGGGTATTTTATTTTTTCTCTTTGTGATTTATTCCAGGTTGTTTCTTCTGACCTATATTCTAGTTCATTTATTCTTTGTTTAGCTTTATTGAATCTGCTGTTAATTCATCTGTGTTTTTTATTTTTCATTCCTAGAATTTTCTTTTTGTGCTTTATCAACTCTGCTGCATCCCTTTTTATAATTCACAGTTCTCTGCCAAAATTTTTAATCTAGTCTTTTATGTTCTTGAACAGTTAGCATCGTTTTATTTTTTAGAATAGTTATTTTAAAGTTTGGTCTGATAAAGCCAGTGTCTGGAGAACCTGAGGGTCTGTTTTTATTTTTTGCTCTTTCTGCTGGTTCTCATTCATTTTGTTATGTCTCCTCATATGCCTAGTTATTTTTGGTTGTGAGCCATGTATTATATTTGAAAGACAGTTTGCAGTAGTTTAAAGTTCTACATAATGCTACCTTAGTCTAAAGAGGTTTCCTTTTGCCAGATGCTTGGGACTACCTTATTTAAATTTCAGAGGCTGAAATGACTTGAAGACAGGCTGTAGTCCCTTCCAGGGCATTCCATTTCCAGTTCACCCTTACTCTTACATAGATGCAACCTTTGGGGGTCCCAAACCAATGAGCAGAAGCTTACCGGCACTCAATCCATCTATGGCAAGTCATGAACCCCAACTTTCTTTAGCTTCTATCAAGAGGGCTGGTCAACCTCTCAGCCCCCTCTTTTGATATTCATGAATGCCTTTAGGAGAAAATTGGCCCCATACGTAACCAAATGTCTTACCTCTGGATTTATGCCTTTCTCCAGATCTCTACTTAGTAATTCTTTATTACTTTCTTAGTTTTCTGAATGCCTTTGAAGCAACTTTTTAAAATATTTTGTCTAGCTTTTCTAGTTGTCTTAAGAGTCAGGATTGACTTAAACTATCTGTCTGGCATTACTAAAGTGAAAATCCTTAGTTTATATCACTTAGATAAAACCAAAATTGTACTGTAGTTTTAGTGTGGTTTCAGGAAGGAATGGAATTAGAAGTGTGTTCAATTCACCAGCTTAACCTAAAGGTTATTCTTCATTTCCTTTCAGAAGAAAAGTTTTAAAATCCTGTGTCAGTTTATACCCACATACCTTGTAAAAAATGGGAATAAGAGGATTCTATCCATTTACGTTTGTACTTAACATCTAATACACTTTCCATATCAGCACCAACAGCTCTACTCCATTCTTTTATTTTTTTAATAGTTGTACTTCATACCACAAATATTTGCCTACTATGCTCATTGAACTATACTGGGCTTTAAGGTGATAATGGTAAGCAAGAACGAATTTTGTCCCAGCACTCAGGGAATTTACTGTTGAGTGACTTAACAGTATTAAGTCACTTATCAAATACATTAATATATTAATCTTGTAACAGTATAAATAAATGTAAAATCGCAACTCTATCAAATGCTAAGAAGTTAGCACCATTGATATGAGAGCATGACAGGCGTGTTGGATCTAGTCAGGGAGATCAGAAATATCCTCCATGACGAAGTAACAATAAGCTGAATAGGAACTAACTAGAAGAGAAGGGGAGAAGAAAGGAGGCTTACAGAAGGGAAATAATATTCCATGTGGAGAATCTATCATATGGATATATTGTGATTGATTCACCCAGCTCTCCACTGAGGGATATTTAGATTGTTTGACTCTTTTGCTACTACAGATGATACTTCAATAAATATATCCATATATAACTTTGGGCATAATTTAGTAAGCATGTCCTTATGATAATCAAGGATACATACACACAATAGAGTTAATACATACAATAGAGTTCACAATAATTTCCATTTCCACTTAGATTTAAATATAAAATTAACTAGATGTATTTCTTACATATTTCATCCTTTCCTAACTTAAATTCTTTGTTTTAATTTTCACTTGGCTGCACTATTTTCTCAAGACCTGGTTCCCTGCAGTGATCTCCTATCCCATTCATAAAGGTAAACACAAGCTATGCTCCGTCTGCTCTGCACCTTCAATGTGGAATCTGAAGCCTAAGTATGTATAGGACTCTCGTCTATATTCTCAAAGTAAGCTAGGCTTTCTCCACTATGTACATAGCTCATCCTAACAGCTGAGTGAATCACCTTAGCATAAGCTTGGGGAGAATGAGACGGTCAGAGGTTTGTGCTAAGGTGCTACCATCTCTCCAGAATCTTCTGCATTCTCAGATAAGTTAGGATCTATCTTTAAAATCAAACCTCCTGAAACATATTAGGGAAAAAATACTTGGCTATGTATATAACAAAATGTAACTATATAAATATCGCTCACAGGCCAAGAAGAAGAAAAACAAACAAACATGCACATAACAGTAGAAAAGTGGGCAAAATAAATGAATTGACAACTCATAAAAAGAAATAAAGGTGGTCAATAAATACAAGAAAAAAACTTCATTAGTCATCATAAAAATAAATATTTAAGTTAAAAAAAACAGCAGACTATAAAAATTATAATAAATAGTATTGGAGAGAACACTGTGAACTATGTATCACATACACAAAATGTAAACTGCTATAGCTTTTCTAGGTCACCTGTATCCAATTTAAAACTGTTAAGTACTAATTGACACAAATTTTCAATTTCTAGAAATTTATCCTATGGAAATAATGAAGAAAGTGTTAATTTTCATTTCCTAGTATTGTTTTCCTTTCTTTCATACCACATATCAATATTTGACTCATATGCATTGTTTGTTTGTTTTCCCACCACCAGAATATAAGCTTTTTGAGAGCTTAGGACCTATACAATTGTTGGCACATATAAGGCATATAATAATCATTGGCTGTTGAACAGAACAGGTAAAGATTTATCTATAAAAATTTTCAAAACTGGGGGGTTTTAAAAGAAAATTTGGAAAAAATCCAATATCCAACAGCAGGGGATTGGATAAAACAAAGAATGACTGACATGGATAACTATGTAAGCATTAAAAAGTAGTCTACAAAAAACCCAGGAAATGTTTGTGAAACTATCACATGACTTCACTTTTGTTTAAAAGAAAAAAGAGGAAAAAAAGACACTAATACAGTATTTATATCAAGATGTGGATATCTATGAGATGGTAGGATTATGGTAGGATTATGGGTGACTTTTTTTTCTTATTTATGGTTTCCTGTATTTTTCAAATTTTATTTTTTCTACAATGAGCAGAATTCTTTTTTTAATTAGACAAAGAAAATTATTCACAACAAACTAAAACCAAAACCCAAACTTCTTCGTTTCTGATTCAAAGGAGGAAAAGGCAAGTTTACCTTCAATTTCATCATCGGAAATCAATTCATCATCAGAGCATATGTTGAGAATGTTAACCAGCATCTCTGTCACTAGATGATAAGACAAAATAACCCAAAATTTATATAATTAATAAGGTACTTTCTCTAAAATGATGTGGATATATAAACATGCATGTTAAATAAACATAGATAAAAATGATTTATAATTTTGCTATTCAGAGTAGCTGTAAGGAACAGCATTAAATGCAGACCTTCAAGTTTATATAGATTTGGGGGAGATTACTTGCTCCAGTTAAAGTATGGAGTCTTTGAAGATTCCATTGCATAGCTACGACTTGATTTCATTAGACTGCTGCCAGAGCCTTTTCTTCACTGATATACATATGAAAGGATTTCCTCCCATTTTACAAAGAAGTTAAGCCACCAGGCCAACGTACAACAGGCTTATATATTTGCATAGCTTATTTGTATAGGTGTACAAATAAAATTCCGAGAAAAATAATTCCTATTTAAATCTCTTTATCACTGCAGAAATCACTGAAGGAATGGTTATTTTATTGTTACTTATGTTATTTTAACATCTTGATTATAGGACGACAGCTATTTTAAATTGATATTTAGAATAAGAAAAGCATAATCAACTAGAATTACAGTTTAAAAATCAATTAAGTGCCACTTAAAAATCTTTGTAGAGAACAATGAAAATAGAAAACATTTCTGATAACTTTAAGAAAAACATTTCTGAACCATCAGGGACTCATGCAAATATAAGGGTGCTCAGTCACTAGTTAGGACAATTGATGGTCCAGATGCTTTAGTTCTCTTACCTTTTTCCCCAACAAAAGGCAAAGACCACGTGAAAACATCCATAAAGTTTGGAAGCCAGTATGGGTGTGGAGAACAGTTAAACTGCCTGATATTCATGACATTGTTTTCATATTTTAACACAGCAGCTAAAAAGGAAAAAGGAGGAAAGTCTGGCACAGAGGAATATGACATGGCAACTGGTACACTTTGTACAGCTGTGTACCTATTACACAGAATTCAAGAACTTACTTTCCATTTATAAATTCAACACAGATGGAAAATCTTAAAGCATGTTATATAGTGCATTCTTTTAAGAATTATCCCAAGAAACAAAGTTACCTGAAGAGCTCTTATATATAATAAAAGTACAAAAGAAACTAAGCTCTGAAAATTCAAAGGGTCTTGCACAGTAACTATCTATAGAAATCTCAGATTCCACATGAGAAAAATTTCATCATAATTTCCCTTTATAGGCCAAGTGGTTACAATTACAACTTTCCTCTGAGGGCAAACATTTCTCATTAAATGAACACAGCCTGTTTTCCTAGTCATTAGCCAGAGCCAAAGATTTTATAAACTTTTTAGGAGTTTATAACATAGCAGTTATTAATTCATAGTGGGGGATACAGATAGATGGTAAACTTGGAGCAATTTAATAAGGTTCAAAGTAGATTAAATCATCTCTGCATACAGTATGTGAAGAAAAAAATGCCCGTCTCTCCTATACACAGTTAGTATATTGCTCACACTCTATAAATGTTTAATATTTACCAGTTCATATATATTTTTTGGTACCAAACTGATTTTCTTTATATTTAAAACTTCTTAAAATCCAATCCCTTAGTTTTCATCACCAGCAATGCAATGTGGTTTGCATTATTCTCTTAATTATTCTTACTATGATCATAAATAGAATAGGGTATAATAGTTCTCTAGAAATGACAGTTATAGGTCATCTCCTGATTCCTGTCTCTTTGATAATTGCAGGATAGCCTAGTATTCTCAAAATTAAAGTCACTGGATGTTTAAAATGTACACCATAGATTATAAAGAAAATATATGAAAATAGGATTTTCAGCTTTTAAGAAGCTTCTAATACTGGTTACAATGTACATGTCCCATTATTTTCAAGTATATGTATTTTACTTAGGTTAGATGAATATGTAAATATTCAACAACTCCCTCAATCTACACAAGAAAAAGAGGTGGGAGGTGGACACAAAAATAGAGATGTTTAAAAATCATGACTTAAAGGTCTTTCATGTAACCTGTGGAACTAAGAAATGCCTGTTGGTACCAATAAGACTAAAGAATGTACAAGAAAGAAAAACAACAGTAAAAGAAAGAGAAGAAAGAAAGGGGGATAGAGTTGCCTTTTTCAAGAAAAGAGGTACTTGTATGGTGAACAACTGAGTACCACCAGAGGTTATTTTAGATGCCACATGCCCCCCTCCCCCTGGCCAAAGGTTAAGAAACAACCAAGGAAAATAAGATTGTTTCAAGGTAAAGTATGTTACCAATTATGTCAAAGCCAACAAAAAACTCAGAATCAACTGTGACTTTAACAGTTTACTAAAGGAATAATCAAGAACAAGACCAGATTAGAATATGGCAAAGAATGAACTGGCAGTTAGTAAGCTAGTAAAGTGATTGCTGATTTAGATGACATGTTTCAGATTAGCACACTGATAAATCCACTGGGCAATCAACAGACACTTTTTTTTTTTTTGGCCAACGCTGTGCAGCTTGCAGGATCTTGGTTCTCCGACCACGGACTGAACCCAGGCCCCTGGCAGTGAAAGCGCCAAGTCCTAACCACTGAACTGCCAGGGAATTCCCTCAATAGATACTTTTAATAGTAAGGTTAATAAAGGAAGTAAGAAGGGAAAGTCTTCATCATAGATAAGAGAACTAGGGACACTGTCCTTGAGGAAGTTTGACAACATAAGTGGCACATACCATTCATAAGGGAGGAAACGAGAACAAAAACTAAGTCTCTAATGTATTGGAAATATTAGGAAAAAGGAAATAAGAAAGAATGGAGTTAGGGAGAAGCAGAGTATTATAGGATAGCTAAGACTCAGGAAAGATTGACGAGTAGCAAAAAGAAATATAAGACTGGAAGAGAATTTAAGTCAAAGAAATGTCTTTCCAAAATGGACAGCAAGTCACTAAGGACATTCAGAGATAACTGTTCCAAAACAGATTGAAATGAGATGTGCCATTTCATAGTCTACTCTGAAATAGAGGAAGCAGTAAATATATTGTGGACCTCTTTTAAACTTCTCTCCCAAACTGCATATACAAGATATGACTATAAAGTAATGAGACTTAAGAAACCACCAACGACAAACACACCAGACCTTATATATCAGATGAGTGTGGTCCTTTGCTGTAATCACACCAGACACAATAACAGTAGAATGTTATAGTAGTAGAGCAATTTATAGTTTGACCAATGCTTTTAATATTCATTTTGATTATTCCAACTTATCTCCAACAAGCCTATATCACAGTTATTTTAAGGACAAACTGAGGCTCAGAGAAGTTAAGTATCTCATTAACTGTGAATTTAAAAGTGAAGCAGGACTAGACTAGGATTTCTGACTCCTAGCTCGGTGCTCTTATCAATATACCTTGCTGCCTTACCGTATATTTAATCCAAAGATGCTGCCATCACTCAAAACGTTTCTGGAACTCCTCTTTTGGAATTGCCTCCAGAGCCATTTTATAAGCAACACAAGAAAAACCAGTCTCATTACCTTATGATCATACCTTGTTCCTGACCCCAAATGGTATCGTCTAGCTTGATCACTCACCTTATTCATCAGTCTTGACTCCGAATGACTTTTGGCTGTTCCAAAAATCAAATCCACCCTCAAAGGACGATGATTTCCCATCATTGAGGATAATCAAAAGAATGTGTCGCAGACTCTGAAGGCAATGCCAAAAGAGGAGTTCCAAAAATGTTTGAACAATGGGCAGCATTGTTGGAATAAGTGTATAACCTCCCAAGGTAACTACCTTGAAGGGACAATACTCACTTGGATATATTTGTTCTGGCATGTTTGTTTAAAAGTTCTATTATTTTATAGTCATACAACAAAATAGTTACAGAGGCATGTTACAGAGAAGGCTTTTAAGTAGACCACTGCCCTGATACAAAACTTATGAACTAGGAATCATAAAAGTTAAATTTAAAAAAATGACTAAAATAGACTAAAAGTCTTAGAAGTAGAATTTCTGGATCAAAAGGCATGTGTATATCCAATTATCTTTTTTATATGGGAAACTGAGGTTAAGAAAGATTATATGACTTACCTAAAGTCACACTATTAGTTTCTGGCAGGGCTTGGACTAAAATGAAGATTTTTCTGACTTTTTGTAGAGTATTCATTCTAACAGTATTATTTCTTAAGAGCAAAAACAGCTTAAGGGACAGACATTAAAACACTAAACAGTGACATTTTATTGAGGTAGTACTGTTATAAATAAATTAAATTCACCAAAACCAATAATTTATGCTGACTGTTCTAACCTGAATCTGAAGTAATTTATTCTTCTTACATTTTGATTCAGTAGTACAAATCACACCTATTGTAATCATTATTTATACTCACAAAGAGCCCAATAATCCTTAGGAGATGAAAACCAAGCAGAAGCCTAAATTCTAAGTTTCTTGACCTTTGTTTCAATTAAGACCCTTTTTTTTCTTATTTAAAATTTATATATATTCAGAAAATTACCTATGCACATACATATTAAACTAGAGCTCACATATACTCACTCACAAATTCAAACTCAAATATTGCTGGTCTCCTTTACCTTTATTGTTATAGACATCTAGGTAATTGGGGGCAGAGAAAATAGTAATGAGTGATGGAAAGCCTGTCGTTTGGCTCTTCCTGTACATTCGATACCTGGAAGAGAAATGACAGCCCGTCTGTCTTGATGTTAAAGGCAAAAAATCTGTAGTGCTGTTTGGTACAGTTGGTTGTTTTTTTCTGTTTGTTTTTGGTTTTGGCCACGCCACACCACAAGCAGGATCTTACTTCCCTGACCAGGGATTGAACCCATGCCCCCCTGCAGTGGAACGTGGAGTCTTAACCACTGGACCACCAGGGAAGTCATGGTACAGTTTTAATATAACTTACCCAGCATCTTGGGCTTCATGGGCTCTGATTATTGATAACAGATTATTGTTCTGCAAAAATTCACAAACTGCAGGGTAACTGGAAAAGAAAATAGAAAACACAAATCCAGAATTAAAACACTTGTTTTTTTAATAGGAGAAAGGGGAAAAGTCAAGATGAAATGAGTTGAATTTGTTTCAAAATTATAGGTTTTCATTACCACTGAACTTTTATTAATAGCTTAGCAATCATCACTCTCGTTTTTCCATGTCACTGATATTCCTCATTCCAGATCAAGGACACAGATAACAGACAACCCTAGGACAGAAGCAGAGTTCCCCCACCTTTTTTTTTTTCTTAACCCACACAATAATAATACAACACCAAAACTTTTCTTGGTATCTTGATATAAAAAAAAGTATCACAGCAGTGTGTGTGTGTGTGTGTGTGTGTGTAGTAGGTGCTAAAAACTGAACACACAATTTTCAAATTGTCAAACTGTTAGAAAAGTTAAAGAACCTACTTATAGCTTCACAGGTAATATCAATATCAAGATGATATTATGCAGGAATATTTCAGGAGCAAATACAAATACTGTATCCAACCTTATTCAAATGAAAGGTATGATATTTGCATCTCTCCTGATATTTGCATCATATTCTTTTAGCACTAGTACCTTTCTGCATGGCAAATGTTTGATACGAAGAACTGGAGAATACAAAATTATCCTGGAATTATCCAAGTGCTAATTATTTAATTTATGTTTAACCTTTGTTTCTTATTATGTTCATTAGAAAAAAATAAGTTTTAAAATAGGCTGCACATTCACATGGCATAAAATTAAAAGATATAAAAAGTTATACAGTGAAATGTCTCCCTCCATCTTACCTCTATCTTCCAGCTACCCTGGAAGCAACCAATGTTCTTGGTTTCTTTGAGTGCCCTTTCAGAGATACCATATTCAATTTCAAGCAATTATGCACACACATATGCACACCCCCCCTTTTAGAAATGTCATCAGACGGTACACATAGCTTTTTACTATGTCTTTTTTTCCCACTTTACACCAGTGATTATTCCAATCAGTATGTAAAGGATTTGTTTTCTTTTTTTCATTTTTAAAAAACAGCCTCATTGCATTGTCTGGTACATTCCATTGTCTGGATGTACAAGCATTTATTTACCTAGTCTCCTATTGAACATTTAGGTTGTTTAAAATCATCATCATAAATAATGCAACAATGAAAAACTTGTACATGCATTTTACACGTTTTCAAGTACAGTTGATTCCTATCATTTGCAGTAGCTGTGTTCTATAAAGTTGCTGCAAAAACTGAGTTAGTGAATACTGAACGACTGCTCCTAGGGGAAATACAGGGTTATGGTTCTGTGAGCCTCTGGTCACAACGTTTTCGTCAACTAATCAACACATAACCTTGTTTTATGTGTGCTTCTGTGTAAAGTCACCTTATTTAATGTATATTGTTGATTCATTAACATGGGACTCATGGCCAACAGTGCCATAACTCATTCCTGATGGAGCTTATATAACACGTCACAGCCTTCTTGCACATAGGAACACTAGATAGCACTTCAGCAGTATGCTTGGGGCCATTTTAAACAGCAAAACACCAACAAAAAATGTGGGAAATGTTTCACTAAATAGACCACAAAAATAATACTTGCTTACAGTATGAGAGCTGAAACAAGAGGCAGAGCAGCTGCACGTTCAACCTCAGCCGGAACATGCACAGGGTGTCTCAAATTTTCCGTTGCTCTGTACACTTGAATGTCTGTGAATGACTGGAAGTATTCTGAGTATTGATTCCAGGGTTACAAATAAGTCTTAGCAAGTAGGCAAATTTGCAAATCAGAATTCGTGAATAATGAGGACTGACTGTATAGCCACAGGATTACATTTTAGAAGTAGAAATTCTGGAACAAAAGCCATGGCCATTTATAATTGGGAGATGTTGTCAAGCTCACTGCCATAGAAATTGTACCAATTTATAATGTGCTAAAAATAAAAAAGTTTTATGTTCCTTATTTTAAGCAATGTAAAGAGAAGTAAAATTTAAATGACTTCATCATATTAGTCACTGCTAAAGTTGGCAGAATGGAATGAAAAAAGTTTACTTAGAAGAATGTTAAAACTATGGCAAAACTGAGGCTTCCTTTTGTGTGCAGGATTTTATTTAATGAATGCAATATCTTAGGCGATTATCAAAGATTTTTCAGGGTACTAAATACAGGTATTATTTATCAGAATAAAATATTGCGAATTTTAAAAAATTCAGGCTTCAAAGTTCCCTGAATCTCCCTAGTTTGGAGTGGCAAAGCACAATGAAACCTCACATATGAGATTTAAGACAACAACCAACTTCCAGGAAATGTCCTGGGCTTAGTTCACAATGTCCTGTTCTTTTTATATCTTTGCCAATACCGGTGGTTCCAAAAGCTGGAGAGCTTTTTAAAAAAATAACAGGATTCCCTTGTCTCAGGCTTACTGAATCAGAATCTCTGAGGAAAGAGCCAAGAAATCTTTATTTTTAAAAAAGTCAATAGATGATGTTTGGGAACAAATAATCTAGATCATTTAGAGTCAGACAACAATATTTAAGCACTGCAAGATGTTCTATTCAGTCGTGTTCAGTATATTACACTTATTAGGGCATAATACCTAGTAAAATATAAAAAACAAAACAGAGTTTTCTGCCTTCAATTAATCAAAAAATTAAATAGAAGTCCCTGAGCAACACAAATTCAAGATACAAAATATGTAGTTAAAAATAATTTGATAAAATATGTTACAATTTCCTTTTTCTAATTTTCTAACTGAGGATTAGCTTACCTGTAAAAATAAGAGCACCCTCGGACCGTGTTGTGGGTATAGTGTTCCAAGGTCTTTTCATTGCCATAATCCTCTGAGGGATCAGACCAAAGCAGGTCACACACTGGCCCAAAGGCTGGAGGTTCTTTAAACCTGTCTAACTAGAAGACACATAAAAGCCAAAAGAAGAAAAATCATGAAAGCAAAAGAGCTTTTGGAAAATGGTATGGGTCAAAAAACACCTTTCCACCCATAAGAATGTATTAGGAGAGTGGGCGGTAAGCCCCTAAAGAATTTTCCTTTAGGAAGAAAATGAACATTTAATAAATGTAGATACAATTTTTATTTGTTTTTGGTATTAAATTTTAATAAATATCCCTATCCCTACAGTAGAAAAGGACCTCCTTACATCCTAATCTTAAAAGCGGTGCTCATTTAATTTGAATGTGAAATCAATCACTATAGAAACATACTATTTATTAGAAAGACCCTATAAAGTTTATTTCAATTACCTAGGTGAGCCAATGTTACCACGACAGCAGGAAGAGTTTTGCAGTGGTTCTGTTCATTGTTTATCTCATTCCAATGGAGATTTCTTTATTTTAAAGAATGCTAGTTTTATTTTGCAAAAGGCTTTCATCCTTTCCATTCTATTCAGTGGAGGCATTTCAACATAAGTTATTAACTCAAGCCTTTAGTCACTGCTGCTTTGGTTAATGCATGAAAGCCAAGAGAAAACAAGTAACTAGGATAACTGAATGCCAAGAAGAGAACCTCTACTAAGTGAAAGGGGAGCTTTATATTAATACAATTGATTCAGAATTGTAAAATTCAAGATTTACTATGTAAAAGAGAAATGTTGTTTATTTAATAACAACACGGCAGCAGAAAAGGCTGTGCATACAGGCATACACCCTCTTACCTTGAGGACAGTAACTTTAATTCAAAGAAAGTTTTACAAACAGAAAATTTTTTAGTTTCAGTACCTATATAAGAGAGGTAAGAGAATACAAGGTACAGAAGAGAAGATGGTGATGTAGAACAATATAAATGAAAAAAGACTGATCACCTTTTTTCAGTCATGAAGATACACAATCCTGAAAATCACAATTACCAACTAAGGCAAGTGTAGCAATTAAACTCTATCATCTGAAATGTCAAAGTCAATGAATTTCAGAGCTGGGAGAGTCCTCAGACCATCCATTTCAACGTCCTCATTTTACAGAGAAGAAAATCTAAGAGGTTAAGTGATTTGGTAAAGGTTACACAATTAATGGCAGTACAGGGATTAGAACCCTGGCTTTCTTCCTTCCTATTGCTATGTAATTTAAAGTTTCAGGGTTATACTCAAAATATGTTTCTAGATGGTAAAAGCAAAGACTTTGTTAAAAATTAGACATTTTCTGGGCTTCCCTGGTGGAGCAGTGGTTAAGAATCTGCCTGCCAATGCAGGGGACACGGGACACGGGTTCGAACCCTGCTCCAGAAAAATCCCACATGCTGGGGAGCAACTAAGCCTGTGAGCCATAACTACTGAGCCTGCACTCTAGAGCCCACAAGCCACAACTACTGAGCCTGCATGCCACAACTACTGAAGCCTGCATGCCTAGAGCCCGTGCTCCGCAACAAGAGAAGCCACTGCAATGAGAAGCCTGCGCACTGCAATGAGGAGTGGCCCCCGCTCGCTGCAACTGGAGAAAGCCTGTGTGCAGCAACGAAGACCCAATGCAGCCAAAAATTAATAAATAAAATAAATAAATTTATTTTAAAAAATTAGACATTTTCTGGAAGATATATAGGAAAATGTTAACAGTAGTTATTGCCCAATGACAAGATCACAGGTGATTTCCATTTTCTTACTTTTAATTAACTGTATTTAAAATTTTTCAGCAATAAAGACATATTAGTTGACTGTAATAAAAAACAAAATTAAAAGCATATTTACTCCATGAGACTAATGAAAGATTACTTACTTTCCGAATGTCATCTAAACAAGTAATTTCAGGTGACATTCCTCCATGTACACACAGAAACTGCTGGTTTAAGAGGGCAGCAAGAGGAAGACAGTCAAATGTTTCCATACACGCATCATACACCTGTTCAGAATATTTGATTCGACCTATCAAAAAAGGAAAAACAAAGGAAGAGAGTTAAAATTTATCATACATGAAAAAGGATATATGCCAGTTGATTATGAAGCTACTCCAAAGCCATTTGTTACAGGCAAATTTGAAAACACAATCATCTTTGTACAGATATTTCTGAAAAGTTGTGGATAAAGGGCAAACAAAATCTCCCTCTTTTTCTACAAGTGTGACCTTGGATTAACTTTCTAGCTCTGCTGTCCTGGAAACCCGATAAGGTGAATGTAATCAGCTGTGTTATTAGGCAACATTTCTTATGGTAAAAATTACCCAATTACCTGGCGGAAGCTATAGCTTTGGGCTTCTCTGAGTGCAGTGACTCATAAGGTATGTCCCTCGTGGGATCCTGGAAGCTATGCCAATAAAGCTTTTACAAGAGATCCTGGCACTTGTGATGCATGAGGCTTCTAAGCCAGGGTGGCTCCCTAATCTGCCCAATGTGGATACTGTTTCCTTGCACCTGAGCTGTGACTAGGAGAGGGTGGGAGAAAGGGAGGCAAAAGGCAGAAAAGCTCCAGACTGCGGCATGTACTTCTATGATGACTACTCCATGAAAAGGGATGCCTGATGCTGCCCTTCCTGAACTGTACTCTTCTAGGATGGACGCCATGTATGCCCCATGGTCTCTCGTGAGTCTGAATTGGGTCTAAAAAGACTTCCTGGTGGTACTGAAGATATATAAATAGAAACTGAAGTTTTAGGCGTCATCAATAAAATGCCAATAATAATTTTGCTCATGATTTTTAAGGTCTTCAAGCAAATTATGTCCTGATTTTATTTTACGTAAAAATGTTCATCTCAGTGAACTGTATTTTGATGTGGTTGTCATTTTGAGGCTACAGAACAAAAAAACACTCCAGTGGGCAGACAGTGGGTTGGCTTCCACAATTATCTAAAAAGAACAGGTCATGAAATAGTAGTTGGCAGATGGCTTTAGTTTAAAGAGAAAGGGATTGTTTTCTTCTTTGGCCTTGGGTTCAAAAAGCCAATATGCTAGGAGGTGCATACTGGTGGAGACGGCCACAAGTTATACAGGCAGGCAGCCCTACAGAACTGTAAGCTCCTTCTCTTCCAAGATTCTGTGAAGATGAGACAAAGCCTACAAGCCCCAGAGAACAACACTATAGCAAGTGAGTCAGATTATCTAGTTGGTAATTATTTCTGTGTTTATTTTCTTCTTGTAATCTCCATGCTTTTAGAAAAGACATGTTCAAGTATCAGAGCCTGGTCTTGGCAAGGCTTTGGGGAATAATGTGAAGGATGATGTGTCCAGATTTGGGCCAGAGTGCAGTACATGGGTAGCA